ATATTTCAAAGTTCAGGTCAAAATTACGATCCGTGGATGAATGAATAATGAAGTATGAACGGGTCCTCCATGTAAAACGGTCTCTGACTCGTGTCTTGAAATCGTATTCTTGATCATAGATGGCGCCACTGAAAAACAAGAAACCCACCCTCTGTCTTAAAAATTCGCTGTGGTTTCTAATAGCAGGTTTGCTCGTAAGTAGCATAAGTACAACATGTCATACTTGAGATTTAAAACACTTACAACGAAATTGAAATTTCAGATCACAGAATAATTGAGCATACACTTCGATAATTTATTTATTCTGTAATCATCACGAGAAATTTTGTTTCAATTCTTTTAAATATGTTATATGTAATAGTTTTTAATCATTTTCTGACAGGAACTTGTAATTCAAATTGCTCAAATGCAAACTTAAAAATCCCGAAGTCATGATATTTAATGGAAGACATTTAGCCTCAAACGTGTTTTAAAATGTTTATATCTCACGATATAAAGAAATTTTGAAACATTTCACTGATTAATAAATTTGAGAGTATTTTCTATAGACCTTTACTTTTATTCAAAAAAAAAAACTACTAAAAGTTAACAAAAATTATCCATAAACCTTTAAATTACGCTCATAACTATAACTCGATATTTATAAATTTTTGTTGTTTCTGAAAAAAGATTTTTATAAGGTTTACTAGACATTTTACTTAATAAATTTTGTGCAAGAAAATTTCTTAAAGTTTCTTTTTCTTATCATTGAAGCGTTATTACTAATGATTAAAGCATTGGTATTTCTAGCAAAACGTCGTTTAATAACTTTGTTAATAAATTTTTTGTCAATAGCGTTAAGATTCACGAAAAGTTTTCGTTAATACTTAACCACTTTTGAGAACGAGCCGGTGATTTGTTGGTTGCTTTTAAAAAATTAAATAAAGTCAAAATGCTGCACAATGTTAAGTGCAAAAGATATTCTTTACACTGTCATAGCATAAGACCATGCATGGGTCATTAGTGCAAAAGTTTCATTACTTTTTATCATTAGTCGAAAATTTTATGAAAGGGAATTGCACGATTTTGAAAGATAGTTGCAGATTTTTTTTGCGTTTCAGAAATAAATAAAAAAAATAATAAACTTCACATTCTTTTTTTTTAAGCACAGAATGGCACCCACTCAAATTTATCAGAAAGTAAAACAGTATCACATAAATAAAAAATATCTTATCGGTTGCCATTGATATCGGTTACTCTTGCAGGTTGCCATCAAAAAATCAAAACTTTATTAATTAAAAATACTTTCAGAACATACTGTAACTCCCCCTACACATAATTTTTATCGGGCATGCGACATAGAAATTGTTTTATCAAATATTTCTTTATGACTTATCTTTACATTTGAAATATTATTTAACAGAATTCTCGGAAAGATTATTTATCAATTTGATAAAACAGGACTAAAGGTAAGATATGAATTGATTCTTACATTATTTGTTAGAGAGATTTTTTATTACTAAACAACTTGTTGATTTTTGTTGATGTTCTTATTATGTTTTATTGCATGTTTATATTTCTGTTATTATAAGCATTCATATAATTGAATTGTAAAATATAAAGGGGGGGAGGGATCTCGAAGTGTCATTAGACATCCATTGTATTCTTCATATAGATACTCATTTACATGAAAGGAAGAAATATAAAATAGAATTTGTTTACATCGCTCAGATTCACTGTAAAAAATTCCGTATCAAATTATGGAACTTTCATACGTAAAATATATTTTTTACCGTAAAATATTGTACCGTAATTTTTACTGTAATATTGATTTAATTAAAGAGATTAAGTGCTTTTACGAAACTTTTTGAGTGATTTTACTGTAAAAATTAAAGTATATCATATTTTTTGTTTCGTAACATGTCCAGTTAAATATGGGTTTTCGGTTAAAAAAATACCGGCTTCCTGTGTGCCGGTACTTTTTACCGTGTTTTTATCCAGAATTTTTTTGCAATGTAATGGTATTTTTCAAAAATGAAGATTTTTATTTAACTAACCCATCTTAAAATACTTAATTTTATTCCCGTTAACTCAGTGATAAATTATAATCTAGTGTAAGAAGCTCCGAAAATATCATAATATATTATTTATAAATAGTTTCAAGTACTCCGTCTTTATTGTTATGGCTATGATAATATTTAATTTTCAATTTTCAAAATGTAGATTTAATTAAAACAAACCTTAATCTTTATTAAACCTATGTATAGAGGCAAATGACTTTTTAAGTTGGATAATTATTCATGCATTGTAAAAAATTCTGGAAAAAAATTACCGCAAAAAGTTTTTAAAATCCATTTTACCCTAAAATGTTTTTCTTTGCATTGATTTCTATGCATTGAAATTTTTACACCAATTTTTATTTAATTACAGTGATTTTATAGTAAATATTACTTTAAAATTACGGAACATTAGATTTTTTGTTCCACAATATTCTACATTGAAAATAGATTTTAGAATAAAAAGCACTGCTACTCTGAGTGCTGGTACGTTTTACCGTGACTTATTGCGGTTTTTTTTACACAGTGGTTCTATANATTGTAAAAAATTCTGGCAAAAATTACCGCAAAAAGTTTTTAAAATCTATTTTACCCTAAACTCTTTTTTGCCGTAAAATTTTTCATCGTAATTTTTACACCAATTTTTATTTAATTACAGTGATTTTATAGTAAATATTACTTTAAAATGACGGTACATTAGATTTTTTGTTCCACAATATTCTACATTAAAAATAGATTTTAGAATAAAAAGCACTGCTACTCTGAGTGCTGGTACGTTTTACCCTGACTTATTGCGGATTTTTTTACACAGTGGTTCTATAAACACTTCTATAGCTTTTAATATAAGCAATTAGTAATAAGACTTAAATCAGACTTATACATTATATATACAAAAAAAGTACAAAAAAGAAAGTAAGAAAATTGCAATGGAAAATGACTTAATGCGGGAATTAATTAAACTGAAATCAAAATTAGTAGTATTAAATATGAAGAAAATAAATATAACCTAATGATCAAGGTGCGAATTTTAAAACAAAGTAAATAAAGGCAATTATTTCTTTTCTTAAAATCCGTTTCAAAATATATATTTCAGTTATAAATATAAATTTAAAAATACTTATACTAATTTCAATAATTTAATTTTTATAGGTGTTATTCTTGCAACTATAAAAACGTTATACAATGTCTGTAAATCAGCCTCCATGTTATGAAGATGCTTTAGCAGGTATTGTTTACATCGTTAAAGTATTTCATTTAACATTTACGCTTTTTTGTTCTTATGCAGTTTAGTTAGCACACGTAATAATAATATGTATTATTTTGTTTTAAGCAAAATGATGAAGCAATTTTTTTAAAAGCTCCGTTTTAATAAGCATTAGTACTCTTTTAATGTTTAGAACACCTCAAAATGTTTTATAAATTAATTTATATCCTGTATAAAAAATTAATTTCTTATAAGAGTTGTAATTTGAATGATGATACTAAAATGCCACTCAGAATGTGAAATAAGGACAGTTGAAATAGTTTTTATTGAAGGTTAGACATCAAGTGATAGTACAAGTTGTCAGTGTAAAGATGGTTTTTTTAAGTCAAAGCATAGACAGAAAATTTATACTTTCTTCATCACAATATAAAAACTTTCACTGATCCTCAAGAAACCCGTAAGATCCATATATTGCAAATAGAATCTTTTAGTAAAAATAGAGGACTCTTTTTAAACAAATTGGAGATATATTCTCACATAACAAGACAGATTAATGCAATTTCAGTTCAACAACTAACTTTCTACTAAGAAAAGTCATATATAAATTTGCTCTGTTCCAATCTCATCAGAAACTTTTTTCCAACTTTTTAATAAATAAAAAAATTAAGCTTTGTTAGAAATTGAAGATTATTTAAAATTGTTTAATGTCTGTTTTTAACGATGCTAGATTGATTGAAGTTTACTCAATTCAAATTAAATAGTTTTTCTATAGAAAAGCAAGTATATAAAGGGCTTAGCTCTTAGCTCAGTGGAATCGTTTTTTCAAGCTCCCTTGAAGGAGCAACATCAAGTTATGGCAATAATAAAAAAAACATTTTTAAACTTTGGAAGATTCCTGTCCATCTTTTTAGTTTTAAGTAAAATCACTATTATTTAAAATATTGCCAAAAAGTTAAGAAATATAATATTCAATAATATAATACTAATAAAAATAATTTTTCTTAATGAGACAGTATGCTAAAAAAACTTGAGTCAACTTGTTTTTATTTCATAATTAACGTGAAAACAGATGGTGTAATTATTATGGTTTATTATAATCAAGCAAATTATATGATACTAATAAAAATAATTTTTCTTAATGAGACAGTATGCTAAAAAAACTTGAGTCAACTTGTTTTTATTTCATAATTAACGTGAATACAGATGGTGTAATTATTATGGTTTATTATAATCAAACAAACTTAAGGGTATTGTAACTCAAGTTTGTTTCGTGACTGCTGATTGCATAAAAGGATTTTATAAGTTGTGGAAAAATAAATACGATCAAAAAAATTTAAAAATTACATATTAAGCATTACTTTTTATTACTATTAAAATATATTTTTCAGCTGGACCATCAAAGTGTATGCCGTACATCAATAAAGGTTTTGAGAGAGATCATGGTTAGTTTGACATTATTAAATCATTTTGTGAAGTATAGATTAATGTAGAATGAAAAAATTTTATAATAAGTATTTTCTCACATAATAAATCTTACAAATAAATGAATATATTTCCAGATAATACACTACCTCCTACAGCTCCATCTATGACATACATGGAAGAACCCCAGATGGTGCTTCCAGAGTGAGTGAATATTTTAAAATATTTGTAAAGATAGTTATGCATTCAGAAAATTAAATAAATAAAATATAAAACAGCTCTTTGAAATATTTATAATTAAATTTAAATATTTACTATTTATTACTTTTTTTGCAAATTTCATTGATGTATTTTAACTATTTATATATATACATTTTTATCGGTAATTTTTCTTAATAACTACATTGAATTCAACAATAATTCAAAAAATCAGTAAAAAGCTGCTCGATTCAAAAAATGTTCGAATGAAGTAAAAATGTGTTATTTTTTAATAATTTATAAGTTTGTTTAATTCTATAATTTTATATTATAAAACAATTTTTAAATGTTTTGTTAGCTACTCTTCTTAAAATATACAGATGAATTGCTACTTAAAACTTTAGTGAAATTGGATATTTTAGAATAATAATTTTATTACTGAATGTTTTGAAATTAACACTTTACGCACATATTTCTCTCTGTTTTAAAATAAACTTTTTCTTTAAATAAATGAAATAAAAAAAACTGATAATATGATGGGTTTTAATTTGCTTCGTTTAAAGTTCATTTCTTAACTTTAAGAAGTTTGAAAACCGAAGTTAATTTATGTCAACTTCAAAATTTTTGTTTCGTATTTAATTGAAATTATTAATAAATATCTATGTGTAAATACCAATTATTTATGTAAATTTATAATGCAAGTCTTAACATATAAATACCAATAATTTAAAGAATTAAAAGTTTTTTAAACATTGATGTTTAGCTAAATATTTTTTTATTTAGATTTCACGGTCTATCTAATGAGGGAATAAGAAATGCATGTTATGAATATGTGGATGATACTTGTTGTTATGGAACACGAGCAATAAGAGACATGATTTTTCAAAACATCACAAGCTCCTGTTCTTTACACGTAAGAAAGATTTATTATTTCATGTACCACCTGCAATTCATGATTTAAAAAATTAACTCGATTTATTTTTGAATGTTGTATTTAATGGCACATAACGGCATTTTACTTAAATCTTGTATTTGACACCACATAGCGACATTTGATTCCTGCAGTCTTTTAAATATATAGTTAATGAAGGCCATGGACTCTAACAACAGTTTATTTTAAAATATTTGAGTTTTTACATTTGAAACGTGTAGCAGAATTCAGTTAAATAACATAAAATCATCTTATTGTAAAAAATGCTCGACTTTTGTGCAAGTGAACACATTTTTAAACATTGCTCAATATTTAAAAGCTATTCAGTATCACAAAGTTATTTACAAGTTAAATAACTTTGTGATACTGAACGCAATTGCAGGTGGTGCAAAATGAATTGCGTTCAAAAAAATGAATTGCAGGTGGGCCATGAATGAATATCCTGAACCACCTGCAATTTATTTTTATAATTTTTTTTTATTCTACAAGTTTGTATTTATTTTTTTCCAGTATAAATTAGAATCATTTACAGAGAAAAGGCAGTCGGCTAGCAGAGAAACACCATATCACGGTAAGTAAAATGAATCATTCTATTTCACTTTTGAAAAAAAAAATTCATTATCCCAAAAACTTAACTTTTACCTTAATGTGATATTTTAAAACATGATTCATTAGTTATAACTTGCTCACATAGTCACAATCTATGTTATGTACATAGTCAAAAATCACAAATTATTTCTTTGAAATAAGATTGAACTTAAATAAAACTACTGAATTTGACTAAAACTTAAATTCGTTTGATGTAAAACATTTGATATGGCATTCCCTATATTCAATTGAAATATAACTATATTTATCGTAAGGCATTAAATTAGATTTGACAAGTTTGTTTACGTCTAAAATACTAGTTAATTCGTCATAAAATACATACTTGAAGTTAAGTTTCGAGGTTTCGAAAAGAAACAAAAAGTAGAATAAATAAATTAAGCATTTTTAATTATTAGGGCGTTAACACCCCCTTCTCGTTATCGCCTGTCGATTCCTGAACAGCATTTGCCATTAATTATGGATCGTCTTACAATCCATGTTCGCTTCGCTCGTTAACCAGTTATCTAGTAGGGGAGAGTGGGGTCAATTGTAAAATTTTCTTCTTAACTATTTTTAACTAACAAAAAATCCAAATATTATTAGTATTAATTGGTAGACGAGTAAAGTAGACTATCCTCTACTAGAAATACCTTATTTTAAATGATATTATATTAGTTATTAACAATTTTTGACAGTCGTGCACTTGTTACAATTGTCCCCACTTACGGGGTCAATTGTAACAGTTCATAAATTCAACTAAAACATAGTTAATTATACATATTATCATAGTTGTGATATATTTTTTTATTGATCAAAATAGTAGTGATATTTTAGGAGTAAAAATAATAATGAGCAGAGACCTAAAGGGTTAAACTTTTAACTTTAAGGGGTTAAAAATTTTAATTTATGCTGTGAAAGGTGACAAATAAAATAATGCACATGCAACATAATATAAATGATATAGGAAACTATTGGTGGTTCTTAAAGAGTTAAGTAATGGTTTGTAAACATAAGATTATTTATTTTCAGCTGTTACAATCGTCCCTTTACTTATTGTTACAATTGTCCCCAAGACGCCATTTCAGCTTCATTTGTTAAAAACAATGCTAGTTAATTAGCAAAACTAATCTTTTTTTTATTGAAATGTTAATTAAGGTGTCCACTTACATATTCGGTTAATAAGTTTTATTTGTTTAAACAAAATTACTTTGTTACAATATAATATTCTAATACCAAAAAAAGTACTTACATAGCTTGAAAATATCTTTTGTGATGTAACTCTTTCAAAACCACATAAAAATGGTTGCCAGCAAGGGTGCACATGTGGATTTATTAAATACACCTTGTGCGCCACCTAGGAACCAAATCTAGAGCCCGAACACTTTTTGCTCTGTTACAATCGTACCCTGTTACAATTGACTCCACTCTCCCCTACATTGTAAAAAATTTTGTATACAATTTGTAAAAAGTACTAGCACTCAGGCTGGTGATACGTTTTACAATAAACTCTATTCTTGCCGGAGCAGATTATTGAACAAAACGTAATTTTTTCAGTGATAATTACAGTAAAATAACTGAATCACTCCAATTAAATAAAGGTTACTGTAAAACTTACGGTATACTTTACGGTAAATATATATTCGTCGGTAAAATGGATTTTATGGTTGATGCTCCCAAAGTGTCGGTACTTTATACTGCAATTTGATCCGGAATTGTTTTCAGTGTAACCAGTTCTCTAGTATTCTTTCGCTTACCAGCACATAGTAATGAACAGTAATTTACCAAATTTATTGTCTTACAGGCGTGTTGTTTTTAAACTTATTATCATACAATAAAAAATAGTATTATGAAGTAGTTTGATAATAGAGTAGAAATGAAATAATATTTTCTGGTAGCTTAGTGGTTAATATATTTTTTATTTTATTTTATGACCGTCGTTGAACAGCCGACCCAATTTTTTGAGTTTGCAACTGCTAATGTTCAACTACGTAGCCTTGTAATTTTGAACCCATTCTAGAAGACAAGGGAACTCTTGGATCAAGTATAGTGAAAAAATTGTCTTTGTGGAGGACGGCTTGTCAGGAACTAACAAGCAATCTGCGTTACATGGAGAGGAAAACCACGAAACTGTCCCATGGTTAGGGGACTCAAACCCATGATCTATCTACCACTGAGGATATTTTACATCAGCACTGCAGTCGGTGCAAGCCGGGTGCGGAATTTCTATCGACTAGTTTTCGTTGGCCATCGAATCTGGTTCACCTCATTGTCGAACTCTCTATCCCCTGAGCAGATTCTAGTGGTCACCATAGTAAAAATAATTGGTTTTGGTATTTCTCACACGTTAAAGAAATTTAATTAAATTTTAATACATTCTGATAATCCTAGACCGCGCTTTTTTCGCAGTTTGAATTAAAAGGTTGTTCCAGAAAATAAAATTATAATACTTTTAAGAATGCAAATTATTCTTTAAGTTGTTTATAACGAACGTCCGTATTGTATTGCCTGAAAATCTCAAGCAAGAAAATTAGTTTCCTATTTATTTTATTCATGCTTATTTAAAATCACTCACTAATAGATATTTATTTTTTAGGGCAAGATATTGATGGTCCAGAGAATGGCCCGCCACCAGCTATTTGGAACATAAGGGTCAGCACTCCCACGAAGTTCGAAGACGGAAGGAGATATGTTGAAATTCCTCATACAGCTTATGTTAAAACTTGTTGGAATTGCAGTGGAAGGGGTGAAGTCACTTGTTCTTCCTGTGGAGGGTCTGGATCGGTAAAATATGCTCTTTTTTTTGTTGTCAATTTTCAGTTTTGGGGCGTTAAACCACATAGCGGATGTACTTCTTTTATTTTTATTATTTAACTTCGTCGATTTGAAATTGTGCACCCAACGCAGAAGACAAGACACTCCAAGGTAGAGTAGTGGAAGAGTTTATACAAAACTAACCCACATATTTGCATAATACGGAGATGAAATTACGGACTGTAAAGAGTCCCCCGAACAGTTTAGATACGATATTTTTCGATTACATTTAAATAGGTTGCAAACAATTAAAAAATTGTTGCGTGAAGTTTTTATTTTTTTTATTTGGGGGTGGTTTTCTTTTTTTTCCTATTATTCTCGAAGTATTTGATAAAGCGCTATTTGATTTATTTATTTTCAATTGCAGAGTTTTCTTTTTCGATCAAACATATATCATTTTAGAGTGATAAAGAAGTAATTTCTCTTATAAAAATAAATCAGGCATCTAAGTTTTTTGGTATAGTAAATGGTTACTGGTGCAAGTTAAATCTATCGTGTCACAAAGTCCTCTATGTTCTATTTAAAAAAAAATAATCATACCTCTAGGAGTACTTAATTGGAGATTGATCGTTTTCTGGCTCAGGTCAAAATTACGATCTATGGATGAATGAATGAATGTACGAACGAGCTGCGACACATGTCCGGCTTATGCCATATTCTTGGCCTTAGTTGGAGCCTCTGAAGAACAAGAGAAGCACAATCTGTCTCAAATTGGTGTGGTATCAAAAATCAAGCTTGCGGTTATTAGCTAGTGACATTAGAAACAACAACAACACAACAACTTAAAACAGTGAGATTCTAAAGAGAGTTAATGTTAGGAACATAGTTGCGTTCAGTCTCAGTTTAATGCTGGGAAGGAAATGCCCTCCGGTAGATATTTTTTGACGTTTCAGCGAAACAATTACTTGAATATTTGGAGAACTAATTATTAGGAAACGTGCCACCGAGGTCTCTGGTTCGATCCTCGGGTCGAGCGCGGTCGACTCAGCCTTTCATATCTTCAGTGGGTCGATAAATGAGTACCAAGCATGCTTAGAAACTAAAGGGGGTTCCGCGTTCGGCTGACCACCTGACCGGAACATCTGCATCTGCACCCCAGAGCCTAAGGTCAGGAAAACTGAGATGGGCACAATAGGCCTTGGCCCTCTATGGGCTGTCGAGGCGCTGAGTTTAGTAATTATTAGGAAAAAAATTAGAAACTTCAAAAAACTTTATTTGAGGTTAAGGCAAGTAGAGCTTAAATAAATTATTGTGGATGAATATCAGAGCAACATTTTTATAAACTAAAACCACTCTTAGCGATTTCTTTTGTAAATTGTAAAGAAACATATGCTCAGTTTTATAGATTCTTTTGAGAAAAAAAGAAATCAATTATGAGTAAATTATTTATTTTTAGGAAATAAAAGCGATGTATTAGAACGAAAAAACAAGAAGAACAAATCAGTATTTATTCGTAACGAATTTTGACAGTTTCGTAGTGTAAAAAATTTCTTTTCGAATTTTATGATACATGAGTTATTTCTTTACTTAAGAAACGAGTTTTAAAAAATACATAATACCTTGAACGTCTGCATTATCATTTTATGTCATATTTCAATATAAAAAATCTTTTAATTTCAATTCATGATGTCGTGAAAAACATATTTTAACAATTACGTGAAAAAAATGTTTCAGGAATTATATATTTTTACAGAAAAGCTTTTATTTTAAAAACGTGTCTTGTTAAATAACTTATAAAACGAGTTAAACTTCTGCATAATCGCAATATGTCATAGATTTACGCAAAAAAATATATTAAATCAAGTTCATGAAATCGTGAAGAACTTATTTTAGCAATTACGTGAAAAAACATGTTTTAAGAATTATATAATTTTATAGAAAAGTTCTTATTTTGAAAACGTCTCTTGTTAGATAACTTAAAAAACGAGTTTAAAAAACTACATAATATGTTGAACTTCTGCATAATCGTAATATGTCATAGATCTACGTAAAAAATGTATTAAATCAAGTCGTGAAAAACTTATTTTAGCAATTACGTGAAAAAAAACATGTTTTAACAATTATATATTTTTACAGAAAAGTATTTATCCAAAAAAAAAAAAAAAACGTCTTTTATCAATTTTACGATACGTCAATTCTTTTCACGAAAACTTCGTTAGAAAAATTTTACGAAATTTTATAAATGGAAATAATTGACTTAACGTGGAACTACGTAACACGTTTCATTTATCGCAATGGCTGTGCTTAAAATGTTCGATTTTTAAACTATTGTTCTATTTTTAGAGTTCGTGCAGCTCTTGTAGTGGCAGTGGGCGAGATAGTGAGGACAATTCATGCTCAAGTTGTGGTGGTTCAGGAAGTAGCTCGTAAGGATATTTATTTAAATATTTGTAAAAGAAAAAATTTTTAGGAAATATTTTTCATACTAATGAAAAATGTGAACTTATTATTTATGTTAGTCATGCTGAAAAAATTCTTGTAAAAGATTAGGAACAAATTTCGTGTTTCCGAACACAAAGGGTGGCAATTACTTTATACCAAAGTAGTGTCCAACTGCACCAAAATCAAGGGCAGGTTCTTAGTGCAAAGAACTATCTAGAAAGTTCTTTTACACTTTTTGGTGCAAAGTAATCGCTGCCATTTATTTTCAATTCTGTAACTCTAATATTTATAATTACTGTAAAATACTCATAAAAATCAATAAACTTACTCTTACAGACAATATAAAATACGAATCAGTAATTCAGGTTTCATACATAATCTAATTTGCTTATAATTTTACATAATAAATATTTGCTTATAAATGAAACACGCGCAGAAAAGAGGATAGAATTTATTCATTATGAAATCATTTAATATGGTTCTCAGAGATATTAAAATTAAAATACAAATATCTATTTTGCATAACTGAAAACATATTTCAATCTAATATAATAAGTATCTTATATACTTTACAATAAGTATCTAATATACTCTATCAGCAGCAAATTTAAGCTGTAAAATTTTTTAATATGTCTTAACAACAAAAATGGCGGTAAAAAATTTAGATAAATTAACACCCCAGATATAATTCTTGGTGTAATCAAATATCAAGGGCAGTTTATGGTATCGTTAAACTTCAAGATTGTTCCATTATATAACTCTTGATGCAAAGTAGAGTAGTTACCACCATTTTAAGATAGACAATCATAAGCAACTGAAGCTGTCAGATATTACTAGCTTCATTTATCAACAAGTAGGAAATAAAAGTTGAGGTGTTAACAAATGCTCAAAAACAGGATAAATTTTTATGACTTGCCAGACGTAAATGAGAAGAAACGAAAGTGATTTGAAATATAAAATGTAAAATTGCCAACGAAAAATGGACAAATAAAGGTGAGAAATAAAATTAGAAGAACCACAGTTGCCGAGAGAGAAAAAAGATGAAAGCAGAACAAGCAAAACCACCGTTACCGAGAGGGACAATCATTTTTGTTTCTTTTCATTTACGTCTGGCGTGTCTTCAATACGGGAGTATGTTTTTGAACATTTGAAACATGTCTACTGTTATTTCCTATTTGTATATTTTTGAAGCGAATGAAGTTTTTAATCTAATAATATCCTTACTTCTTATTTACACCTTTAAAAGACGATATTTCGCAAGCTTTAATGGAAGAGTTGCAGACGAGAAATAAATTTATTTAAGTAATTTATTGGATTATCTAAATGTTTACATTCACCAGAGAATGTCAATTTCTATTACAGTTTGGGTTATTCCGCTAAACTATATGATATATTTTGCCTTTTGGTTAGAAATATTTTAGTAAAACTAATCGAAATTTGTAAAACTTATAAAATTGAAAATGGTTGTAATTTCCCTTTACAGTTGCATTTGGTGCAGTGGAAGTGGAAAAGTAACATGCAGCACCTGTGATGGTCACGGTAAACTCAAACATTATGAAGAGCTTATTGTTACATGGTAAGAAATTTTTTTTTCAGCGTATACGATTTCATTTAAGTTTTCTTGTTTGAAATATTGATTTTAAAAGAGGGAATGGAGTAAGATGCTCAAGGTTAAAAATCGCGGTGGTTTTCTTTTTTCTTCAAGAGTAGGAAGCATTATTGAAAACATTTATCAAAATTTTAAAATTTCAAGTCGATAAAAACTTGATTTTGTTGATAAAAGTTGTTAAACCATTTTTCTTTGCCTTATGTCTTAATTTATAATCAATAATAATAATGTAATACAATAAAATATAATATTAAAACATAGTGAAATAGAACCAAATAGTAAAATATAATAGTAAAACATTGTCTTGTGATATGAATTTCAATTTTGATTTTTTGGGGTTATTTTTTTAAAAAGCATAAATATACAAATCTTAAATTTCATGTTCAAAAATGTGAAATTTGGATTATAAAGAATCAGTAAAAAAGGGTAATACTTAAATTAATTAATACTAGGAAAGGTGATATTTAAATTAATTGTTTATCGAATTTAAATGAAAGCCTTATTGTGCCAGAAATGATTTGTTCTGTGTAGATATTTAAATTGTTTACAAACATTAAAAATTTCCTGTGACGCAAAAATATTTGCAATTACAAATTGAAATTATTTTTAAGAAAGTCTAATTAAAAATGTAACTAGCCAGGAAAAAGGTTATTAAAATGATAATTTGCGTTACATTTAACTCTAGAAGGAGACAAACTTGACTTTAATTTCTCAATATTCAAATGAATAAAACTGTAATGGTAAAAGTATGTGTGAAAAATGTTGGAGCTTATTTATTTGCGTTAATTTTTAGTCTAGATGTTTTTACGCTAATTAAAAAGAATAAATTTTATAAGAATTATTCATATAATTGTTCCTTTTAATATCTGTATTACAGGAAAAATAACGTTGACAATTTCGTGGCCAATCCCATGAATATACCTGAAAAGCTGCTTATTAAATCTGCTGGTAGAATAATTTTTATTGAGGAAAATCCAGTGGTATGTACAACATATATATAATAAGTAAATAAATATGATGTTGATTGCAGTTTTCGTTACAACTGTGAAAAAATAATGTTTTTTTTATTTAGGATAACTCTGTGAACAAGTTTTATACCGGCTTATAAAAAGCCGGTTCCGGTATGATACTGGATCCGGTATTATACCGCGGACCCAGTATCATACCGGAATCATTGTTTCATAAGCAGGTATCAAATTGATTCCAGTATGATACCGGATCCAGTATCATACCAGTATCGTTGTTTCATAAGCCGGTATCAAACTGAGTCCAGTATGATCCCGGAGCCAGTATCAAACCGGAATCGTTGTTTCATAAGCCGGTATCAAATTGAGTTCAGTATGATCCCGAACCCAGTATTACTGGAATCGTTGTTTCATAAGTCGGTACGAAATTCACCCCAGTATGATACCGAACCTCGTGCTATACCGGTGTTTCATCAGCCGGTATCATATTGGCTCTAGTATGATGCAAAATCAGATATAATACCGGATGATGTTCACAAGCTAGTAGGATACTGGCTCCGGTATAATATCTAAATACCTCGAGGTATCCGACTGTGATGAAATTTTCCGCTGTCTTCAAAAGTATTAAAATTTTTACTGTATCTTTAATGAGCAAGGTTAACATAGGGTTCGCTTCCTAGGTTCGAATCCCGGCGTTGGCAGGTCAATCGGAATTAAGTTCTTGACTCGCATTGACTACAGTGCTGACATAAAGTATTCCCATTGATAGATGTATCATGGGTTAGAATATCTTTAACGTCGGGCTAACCGAGGGAGTATTTTTATGTAAAGCAGGTGTGTGTTAGTTTTATCAAAAAGTCCTCTACGAAGGCTAGTTTATCTCAATGCTTGATTCAGAAGTTTAATTGTCTTCTGGATTGAATTCAAAATTACAAGGATACGGAGTTAAACATTTATTGTCGTAAACTCAACTTTGAGTCGGCCGCTGAACTTTGATTATAATACCAATTCAGTTAATTGGACTTAAGATGACAAACATCAGTTGGTGCAGTTTTTGAAACTCGTGTCTTTAAATGGAGCATCTATTTAAATACCACATCCTCTATATGGAAGGCTGTGAGAAAAAAAATCATTTGACCAATGAGTATTCTGTGATTGCCACTATAGTGTTAACAATTAATGTTCTCACTTTTGAAATGAATTGACATTACATTATTATGAGATTTCTTTGTGAAATTATTGTTCAGGTTTCACCATTGACACATTCACCGGATGCATTACTAAACGAGCAGTCGTTTTGCCTAATAAATAAGCACAGAAGAGATTTCTCAAATCAACTCATTCTTATGCAAGTAAGTTAAAACATATTGTTCTGAAATTAAATACCACACTGTTAAAAATTCCGAGCCACGTTGCTCCAAAAAAATCGTATTCATTTTCTGGTTACATAAAATAGAGCTGAGTTGTACCATATTTTGTTATTTTCACTAGCTCCAAATATTAGTAGAAGGATGAACCAAACGTAGGTGCACCAAACGAAGAAACAAAACACCTACTTTCATTCTTTTTCTTATTAAAGCAGAGAAAGATTGCATCATCGATAGGTATTTTTAAAGCACTTAAACACAGGCCAAGATTGCGATTTACTGTAGCAAAATTATTTACCTTAAGTTGGTTATTTTATGATATTCTCTAACCATTTCATTCCACCAATCAAACTCAAAACAGCAACATATNACAACTGTTACTTTTCTCAACAACTGAAATTTAGAATAGTGTGATTAAGAAAAATATGTGAACTGTTTGCAATTCCAAATTAATATTGAAATGTACAGGTTTAGAATTTTCTACAGTGAAAAGTTTTCGGAAGTTCAGTATTCAAAAAAGTTTACGAAAACTAGACGTTAAGAACGTATCCAATGAGCGAGCATTGGATTGCAAAGCAATCCGAAATGAACTGCAAAAGCAGTTCCGTGGGTTGGTGAGCGCCAGCGAGCAGGGGGCGAAGCCTCCTAGTAATAAATAATAATGAAAAATAATGTAATAAAATAAAATATAATAATAAAGCATAATAGAATCTAATAGTTAAATACAATAATAAAACATTGTCTTGTGATATGAATTTCAATTTTAATTTTTTGGGGTTATTTTTTTTTAAAAAGCATAAATATACAAGTCTTCAAGTTCAAAAATGTGAAATTTGGATTACAAAGAATCAGTAACAAGAGGTAATATTTCAATCTAAATCAATTAATACTAGGAAAAGTAATATTTAAATTAATTGTTTATTGAATTTAAATAAAAACCTCATTGTGCCAGAAATGTTTTGCTCCGTGTAGATATTTAAATTTAATACAAACATTAAAGATTCCCTGTGACACAAAAATATTTGCAATTGGAATATTATTGTATACTGGAATATTACAAATTGGAATATTATTTTTAAGAAAGTCTAACTAAAAATGTAATTGGCCAGAAAAAAGGTTAGTGAAAGGATAATTTGGGTTACATGTAATGCTATCAAGAGACAAAATTGACTTTAATTTCTCAATATTCAAATGAATAAAACTGTAATGAAAAACATGTGTGTGAAAAATGTTGGAGCTTATTTATTTGTGTCAATTTTTATTCTAGATGCTTTTACTCTAATTAAAAAGAATAAATTTATTTAGAAATATTCATATAATTGTTCATTTTAATATCTGTATTATAGGAAAAATAACATTGACAATTTTGTGGCCAATCCCATGAATATACCCGAAAAGCTACTTATCAAAGCTGCTGGTAGAATAATTTTTATTGAGGAGAATCCAGTGGTATGTACAACATATATACAATATGTAAATAAATATGATGTTGATTGCAGTTTTCGTTACAACTGTGAAAAAATAATGCTTTTTTTATTAAGATAAATCTGTAAACAATGAAAAAAGTTTTGTATTTTTTACGTCCATTAATTAAAATCTAAATTTCATACAGCATTTAAATTCCACTGGTCAAAGCGATTCTACGAGGGGGGGGGTACTGTAACATGTATGACTAAAAATTTTCAGAAACTTTTTTTTAAAAAAATCTTTTAAAGGATCTTAAATGGTTTTAAATGCCATACGTAAATGTGTTTTTTAACTATACTCTGACAAACAGAAAATAATTTTTTTTTTTCGAAATATGTAATAAAGTTAAAACATACGACATTTGTTTGAAATATGCAGTGTGATGTCACGACATTTGTTACGACAAAAATACTACATTTTCAAAATTCAATTTATCAGAAACTATTCGATTGATTGCGTCCAAATTTCGTATTTTGCCATTTAAAATTGCAGTCTTTAAAAGGATGTAAAAAGTTGCATGCCTTGGAATAAAAATTTTTTTCGATTATTATTAAAGAAAATAATTAATATTCACCGAAAGTTACATTTTGCAAAGAATTATTTTAGGACAAACAAATTTTATAGTTGTATTAAAAATGTTTCAATTCGCAAAATTTTTGAATTAAGCAAAAAGTAAAATTAACTGTAATGGGGTTCCAAACATTAGACCGCTCTCCATACCAAATTATTTGGACCATATTCCGCAGAATATCGTATATTTTGAGTGTCAGATATCCCAATGAGCCGAGGGCAAGGAATATTCATTCAGTGAAAGTACGTTTTTGTGTCTGATTATGTAACTTCTGCACTAATTAATTAGTAAATCTCGATCACCCCCTCGAATGTTCAAGACTGAGTTCTAGAATTAGACGATCTAATAGCTATCTTAATTTATTCTGGTTGGTCCATTTTTTGCGTACACATAATAGTATAATAACACATGTAATAGTATAATTAAATATAATAGTATATTTATAATAATGCATGTAATAGTATAATTGCGTGCATGTAGTAGTATAATTGCGTACATGTAATAGTATAATAATTTGCAACATATAATAGTTATAATAATTGAATTCAATTTTCCTTTATTGTTTGATGCAATATACTTAACGGAGAAATAAAAAGGTGGAAATATTTAAATTTGAGAAAATAATCATCGAAAATTTACGAGTGACCCTATTGAAAAAAACTCCCGGTATAAAAAAAAATTATAATGGCTTATAAAAAGCCGGTTCCGGTATGATACTAGATCCGATATTATATCGCGGACCCAGTATCATACCGGAATCGTTGTTTCATATGCCGGTATCAAATTGAGTACAGTATGATACCGGACCCAGTATCATATCGGAAACGGTCTTTCAAAAGTCGGTAGCAAATTCGCCCCAGTATGATACCGGACCCAGTATCATACCGGTGCTTCATCAGCCGGTATCATATTGGCTCTAGTATCATACAAAATCAGATATACCGGAACTGGTGTTTCACAAGCTAGCAGGATACTGGCTCCGGTATAATATCTAAATACCTCGAGGTATTCGACTGTGATGAAATTTTGCGCAGTCTTTAAAAGTATTAAAAATTTTACTGTATCTTTAATAAACAAAAATTTAGAAATGTGGATCAGGTAAATGAAAAAAGGGGAAATTACATGACAAAAGCTACAGTAAAAATATCAGTAAGCAACCCATACCGATAAGTGATATCCAAACTTTTTTTTTCTTTTTATTCTCACCAGCGCGGATTTTTAAATTTTTTTTCAATAATATTAATTTAAAGTATTTTTATGTTTTTAAGGATTAAATTATTCATAATTACTGTCTAGGCCGGCAATTTTATCATAAATATGAAAACTGATGAAAGAAAAAGAGTTTCGTAAAGTCTTAAAGAAATGAATATAGGTATACGTTGAGAACCAATTTTGCTCAGGACATAGAGGGTTCGCTTCCTAGATTCGAATCCCAGCGTTGGCAGGTCAATCGGAATTAAGTTCTTGACTCGCATTGCCCACAGTGCTGATATAAAGTATTATCATTAGTAGATGTATCATAGGTCGGAATCTCCTTGACGTCGGGCTAACCGAGGGAGGTTTTCGTAGTTTTTCTTTCTATGGAAAGCAGGTGTGTGTTAGTTTTATCAAAAAGTCCTCTACGAAAACTAGTTTGTCCCAATGCTTGTTTCAGAAATTTAATTGTCTTCCGCATTGAATTTAAAATTGCGAGGTAATGTGGCTCAAAATCGGGTAAGCTGCTCAACTTCGATTATAAATACCAATTCACCCATTTGGACATAAGATGACAAACATAAATTGAAACTCGTGTCTTGAAATGGAGCGTCTATTTTAATACCACATCCTCCATATGGAAGGCTGTGAGAAAAAAAATCATTTGAACAATGAGTATTCTGTGATTGCTATTATTGTGTTAAATTAATGTTCTCACTTTTGTAATGAATTGACATTACATTATTATGACATTTCTTTGTGTGCTTATTGTTCAGGTTTCACCCTTGACGCATTCACCGGATGTATTACTAAACGAGCAGTCTTTTTGCCTAATAAATAAGCACAGAAGAGATTTCTCAAATCAACTCATTCTTATGCAAGTAAGTTAACACATATTGTTCCGAAATTAAATACTACACTGTTAAAAATTCCGAGACACGCTGCTCCAAAAATTTGTATTCATTTTCTGGTTGCATAAAATGGAACTGAATTGTACCATATTTTGTTATTTTCACTAGCTCCAAATATTAGTAGAAGGTTGAACCAAACGTAGCTGCACCAAACGAAGAAACAAAACACCTATTTTCATAATTTTTTTTGGTTAAAGCAGAGAAAGATTGCACCCTCGATATGTATTTTTTAAAGTACTTAAATAGAGGTTAAGATTGCGATTTACTGTAGCAAAATTATTTACCTTAAGTTGGTTATTTTATGATATTCTCTAACCATTTCATTCCACCAATCAAACTCAAAACAGCAACATATAGGAAATGTGCTTTAATTAATGCAAACAAGTCATTTACCCATCGAAATAAGTTTATATTTAAAACAACATGCATTTAGTTGTTCCGATACACCGAGACCGAGTTGTAAAGAAAACATGGCGTCGTAAACAAATATAGTTAAGTTTACAGATAAAGTTTTGTGTCTTTTACCGAATTTTGGTGCTGTCTGTTGCACCATTTCGATCATACTACACAATTTATAGTGTAAGTAAAATAAAATGATCTTTCATTTAACTTAAGCTTAGGTATAATGAGAAACTTAGATCCAAATACTGGTAAAAGAGTTTTCTTACAGTGCAATTCAGAAAAATAAGATAACTATCGATATCTGAGTCCCACTAAGCTGAAATATTTGCTAAACATATAATAGTGGACTTAAAAAATTATAATTCAACTGATTGCTAACACAAATTTTACAACTAAATGTTATATTTATCTGCATTTACATTTTAAAAAAAAGAAGGAAGGTGACTTTCAATGTTTCAAGTTTTTTCCTTTGAATAGATCACCATTAAATGTCATAATATTTTCTATTTCATCTCTGCTCTGTAAAAAAATTCTGGATATTACTTTGGTAAAAAGTACCACCACCCAAAGTTCCGGTACTTTTTACTGTGAAATCTTTTTTCTACTGGAACATGTTACAGATCAAAAAATCTTATATATTGCAATTTTTACAGTAATAATTACCCTCAAATTACTGAATCATTCTAATTAAATAAGTATTACGGTATAATAATTTACAGTAATAATGATTTATGGTAACATGGACTTTACGGATAATGCACCCAAAGTGCCGTTACTTTATACCGTAATTTTATCTGGAATTTTTTTGCAATACGCTCGAGGAAATATAGTTAAATCTTCCCTAGAGCGTATAGCTTTCGCTGACAACGCCACATTATATCAGCGTTACAATAACAACATTGTTATTATCGTAATATTATATTTACTACATATATGAGAAATTGAATAAAAAAAATTTTTAGTCTTATAATGGCTGGCAATATTACTTTTTTATAAATTTCAACCAAAACCTTTTCTTAAATTATTAAAACTGATGACGCATGCTATGCAGATAACGTACATAACTACGATTACGTGAATGTATCATTAGTCTTGGTCTTAAATAATTAATTATCATGTTACTAATTTAACTCAAAGCATAAAATTTCATGTAAAAGCCAAAAACACTTTATAATAGAAAAGCTTGTGACATTTTAATAATGAGCCACTTATCATTGCTTCATTCGCAATAATCATTGCTTTTAGGAAACATTTTTGATGATTTCCATACTTTTGGCAATCTATTACAATAGTTTTTTCTCAGGCAGTATGCAGAAGCGTATCTAGGACTTACAGCGTACGGGGACAAATTCAGCTTTTACGTCCTTTTACAGTATGATCTCAGACTTCAGGACAATTTTAAATTTTTGATTGCGCAAAAGCTGAAGTACATCGCATTTGGCTTCGAAATGTTAAATGCTAAATTTAAAAAAAGAATTCAAATGAGCTTGGGAATTTTAAAGTTATATATATTTAAAACAACAACTGTATACATTTACATTCTTTTGATTTCTTTTTGTAATTTAATAGTTTATAATATTGACATAGTTTCGACTACATTTTGATGATTTGATCGCTTTTATTGTTTTTGGCTTCTTAATTAAATGGCATTTCTTTGGATATTTTCCATTCAGCGTACGGCTAATTTGTTCAAAAAAGAAAACTGCTTGCGAAGCAATTTAAACGATTCATTTTCTAATTTTTCCGCTCGCAAGTTAATAAATTCTCAGAAATTCGGGTTTTATTACCACAGTTAGTAAAAAATGCAAAAAAAGAAGTTAATTTAACCAAATAAATGATTTTTATGCCACGCTCTATATGCTCTATAACAATATGATAAAATTACCAAATTTTCAAATGTGTGCCAAATTTTATCCCATTATTCTAAGGATATTTTTCATTCAATGAATTGCTAATTTGTCAGAAAAAAGGAAAGAAACCTGCGTGCAAGGCAATTTAAACTATTCATTTGGTAATTTTTCCGTTCAGAAAGATAACAAATTACCGGAAATTCTAGTTTTATTACCACATATTTAGCAAAAAATAAAAATAAAACCAAAAAAATCATCCTAATGTCGTGTTCTATGATAATATGATAAAATTAAAAAATTCTACAACGTGTGCCGAATTTTATAACATTAAAACCCTATTTTATTATTTCTTTTACCAGAATCATTACTAAAGCTCTTCGATATAAATCACCGAGCTTATTGGTGTTCCCATAGAGCCAGAAACACGGCAAAGTTTACCATGTTTTGTTAGTTTTGACTATTCTTTTTTTTTCTCAGTGCATACATAAATTAATTCAATCCAATTTAATTTTACCAAATTTTCATTGTATCTATTATATGCTTTGCCATTTCTCTTTGGTGGTTTTATTACTTAAATATCTCTTCATTATTTATTTACATATGCTTTTAATTAATTCATAATTTTTTTTCAGAGACAAACTCTTTGTGCTATTCCTATTACAAAGGTGGACTATGCTTGGAAAAGAAAAGTTGGGGAGTTCTATGTCTACAGTTTTGAGAATGAAGTCTATTTTGAAAAATACCCTCAAAAATGCTGCTGTTGTATTTGCTGCTAGTAAAACACTATGTAAAAACTGGTGCAAATATGAGACATGACTTTTGTACTGTTTGTAGAAAAATGAATTTCACGACTCGAATATGCAACAATTTTCAAAGCAAAGAGCTTTGTAATCCCTTTTTTTGTTTTTTAAAAGTAAAAAATATATAATATCCTATTTAAATTTTATAAATCTCTCTCAAATTAAATGGGATTTTTATGGTAGATGCATAGAGAAAGAAAATCTCTGGAAAAATTTCTGTATCGCATAGACATGATATTTCTGCTTAAAAGCAATAATATGGGTGTTAAAACTCAAAGTATGCGGTATTTAATCCTTATTATTTGAAAGATTTCCCGTTCATTTAGTAACGATGTGCCGGAAATTTTGGTCTTAAAAATTATAGTTCTTATTATCACACATTTACTAAAAATTTTAAAACTGAAATATAAATTTAATCAAATAAATAGTTTTTATAGTTATTTCTACACTGTTAGAATTTTCCTTCTAAAGTTACGGTAAAATGACCGGCAGCAACCTGTCCATACAATTAACCGTAAAGTTTACGGTAAAGATCATTTTTTACCTCTACATTTTCAAATCCGTTTACAACTGGAATGGTCAAAAAAGTTACGAATAGAAAACTATAAGGTTTCTTAACCATGGAAATACTAGACTTTTTTTTGTTGTCTTAAACAGGTTTATGGTGCTGCCATATTGGCGTCAAAGAGAATATCGTGTTTTAATAGTCCAGGGTTACGAATTTGGGAGTGGAGAACACTCTGGAATGTCTTGTGGCGAAGAAATGTCGTGGTGCCAACGCTGGGATTCCAACCCCCCATTCAGTTGACCATAAGAATGACAGAGTAGCCCTCTCGGCAACAATATGTACCCAGCTGCAAGGAACCAAGGGGCTTCATTAGGTGGGCCCAGTTGATGCGATAAAATTCTGGTTGTTTAACCGTATTAGGTGAAAGCAGTTAATAAACGATTTTTCTCACTGTTTTCAGTTTGAATACCATTTTATTTATGGTTACTTGACTGGTTTGCTTGAATATAGTTAAATAACAGTTAAATAATTTATAATTTAATCTTTTCTCCCGAGAAATTTCTAGCAGTGTTAGGTATTAAGATAAAATTCCCAAACTTAACCACATTTGCCAAATTTCGTCACATATTATAAGGCCATATTTTACTTTTAATTTCCCCAAAATCATTATCAAAACGCTCTAGTAAAAATTACCGAGTTTATGAAGCCAGAAGCATGGGGAATTTTACTATGTTCTGGTAGTTTTGTTCATGTTTGTTTTCGGTGTGGGTTTGACGTAAAAAAATTTATTATTTTTAAATGATTTATAACATAAAAAAATCAAAAAGCGTGCTTGAAAAATTGTTTTTTTCTTGAAAGTTTTAGATTTTTTCAAAATTTTTGAACCGATTTCGTTTTGCAATTTCAAAATATACTCCTTAATTTAAAAAGTGGTATTAACTGGTTAATGAAAATTTTACAAAAATAAAACTTTATTAAATTATTTTTTTAAAAGAATGAGAAAAGAACTAGTAATTGTTTTACATTTATGGAAAAATAATAAACCATAAATCACAAAAAATATCAAGTATGCTTAACAGTATTTTCTTAGGCAAAAAGAATATTTTGAACTTCTCCTTTTAAATATCATTTCAAAGGAAGAAACATTTGGTAAGTTCTAGTAAACTTTAATTCAAAATCTTATTTTTGGATAAATGTAGCAAATTTTGAATGTAGCTTATTTCGGATGGATGAAGCAAATAAAAATTGAAAGGTAAAAATTTAAGATAACAAGAGACAAAATTTGAAGCATACATAGGACTAAAAGCTAAATTTTTTCTTTGTGTTTTATTGTCTAATCTGGATCAATTTTAAAAATCTTTTTAAACCATGTTTCTGTGTTATCTGTATTTTCTGTTTATTTACTTTCGTACCAATAATACAATAAGAAATATAATTATATTTAATACTTCATAGACTGCTACCTAACTCAGAGCTCTCTTTGATATTGGCTTTGTGGTTTTGATAATGTGTATCTTAGACTACATTGAACACTTTCCAAGAGTTGATGACCTCAAATACACAACAAACTTTTTAGAACAAAAAATTTATCTGAATCAATTATGATACTTCAGTCTATATTTATATAATTTGTGGAATAAATTAATAAAAAGAAGTAAATTTTTTATTTGTATATATGTATATAATTTAAACATATGATTTTGTTTCTTATCTTGCTGTTATTTTGTTCCTTGTTTCTTTTGTTTATAATCTGAATATGTTTGTGATAGGCACAAATGGTATAATTGTAGTAATATAACGCACAAACATCATGTTACTAAAAATTGGCTGTTTTATATCAACATGAACAGAAAAATAAAATTTTCTTTAATTCTAATATGTAGAAATAAGTTATGCTCCATTGTTTACTCATTTCTGTGTACAAATATTGAAACGATTAATTTTGTAAATAAATTTATTGTTCATGAAAATTTAATAAAGTTGTTAAATGCTCAAATATTTTGAATCCTCAGCATATTGTGTTTTTCTTAAAATTTTTATTCCTGTAAATATTTATATGTTTGTATATAGGTTAAAAAAATTTTTTAATTTAAAAAATAAAGTAATATTTTTCACAAGAGCTTTGTTTTATCGTTTATTTGTTTTTAATATTCATCTCAAACTCACGCAACATCTAAATGTTTTTGCAATAATTTTCATAAATATTTAGAAAAATTTTGCTAATCAAAAAATTAACCATTGAATGTAAAAGAAAAGTTTTTGATATATTAATATCAAAATAACATAGAAACACAAAATTTTATTTAAATCAAATTTTTCTATGAAAAAGGGAGATGGAGATTTTAATTGTTTTTAAAACTTTAGGTTCATAGATGCATAGTAGAAAATATATTATAAGCTAAGTTTCTGACTATTGTATGAAAGAACAATTGAATTCAAGCTTTTATATTAGCGTTATTAAATAAATAAGTTAAATTCAAGTTTGTTATCTTTCGTTTATGATTCAATTCTAATCAGTTTTCATCTATGAGAGAAAAAAAAATCCGGTGAGATTACAGTATCAGTACTGAAGGTTAGAGCTCTGTTGTTGTTTGAAAAATTCAAGAAATTTTCATTATTCGCCACTTCTTGCAACGAAGCGATGCCGAATAATTTTTCAAACGTTGTCAATCATATAGGTGTGGTCATATATTTTCTAAGAATTCATTTTGTAATATTTTTTTTTAAAATTAATTTTACAGTTTGGGTGATCTTACATCGATGATTGATAATACTTACTTACAAGCAGTTTCATATAACTGAGTAACTCGATTAATGATAGTGAATCACATTTTAGTGAGTAGTAAACGATACATATAAAGATCAGTGCAATAAAAAAGGGCTTATTTCTATTATACAATCAAACACAATATGTTCATGTTCTTATCTTTATTATGATAAAAATTTCTTATCATTTGCTTTATTTATAGTAAACACTCACATTTTTTGAATAAAAGAAGGAAAAGTACCGAACAGGAAGGGGCAGTTGGTATTTTGTTAAAAAAAATATACATTTATATTTAAGGTGAGTTGTATTCATGTTACTGTATTGAATAATTTTCGTACAAACACCATTTTTAAAATATGCTGTAATTTTCGTAATGCATGCTGTAATTGTGCTAAACAATTTTAATTCGATTCAAAATTGATAACATGAATTACGACTTCTTACTGTAGTGTTTCAATGTATGTTTAATAATAATTTAATAATTTTTTAAAATTGACAGTCATATTTAAATTTTTTTGTCAAAGTTTAAATATTTTGATTATTTAAGTTAAATATATGTTTTTAGTGCTATATATATATTAGTTTTAGAAAATATTTCTGCATAACAAGAAAGATTGTATTTTTAGGATAATGGCTCAGTTGTTAAAGACTCTAAATTGTTATTGAAAAAAAACTGGGGTTCGATCCTCAGAGTCGGCATTAGGCCTACCCAATTTATTGATATTTTTCAATTTGTTTGAGATTCAAGAAGGTATAGTGAGCATTGATGACCTTTTAATAATAATCATGCTTTGATCACAAAATTGAAGAACCTAAAACTCCAAGTCACCCAAACTAACCCACAAAGCGCTGTTGCTAGCATGCGTACTTTACTTTAAAACAATGACATTAATGTTATTTTAATAAGCAATTTATTACAACAATTGCGGATTTCGGATTAGATATGGAATACAGAAATAAATGCATTATGAATAATAAAATAATTGCGTTAAACTAAAAAGAAAATCGGTACCTTTCCGGGTGAAATTAAGTTCAACTATTTTTCTTTTAAATGCTTTTTTTTTAATTTAATTTTTTTTAAAGTTCATTTTGTGTTCAAAAAATAAATACAATTTAAAATTTTTTTTTTTAAATTTATAAATAATTTGGTGAATATCTACGTTTTTTGGCTACTTTTCGTTTGCGTCAGGCTAACCGAAAAGTAACAGAATAATTGAAACATGCAAGAAATTGTACTAGAATTCCTTATTTTGCTTGAATCAGTGAATTTGCATTCATTTGTATAGTGGTAGCTTTCATGCTTTTATAGCTTTAAATGTAGTGTATTAAAAGCGAGTATTTTTGTTTTTGTTTTTGTAATATATAGTATTATTTATCGTCAATTCGTTTTGTTATTTTTAGAAAAATATTGCCATGGAAAAGCCACCGAGTTACGAAGCTGCCATGGCAGGTAAATAAAAATTGTGCTATGATAAAGCGTTTCCTATTCATTCAGAACTCTTAAAAAGTACTATTTGAATAAAATGAGATTTAATTATGCTTGTAATGAATTATATGTTTATTTAATTCTGGACAATAGATGGAAAGAGAAGCCTACATTTGTCCCAAAAATTATAATATTGTATGTTTATGGAATTTACCTTGAATTAAGTTTTTTTTTAAATGCAAAATTTTATGCTTAATAAAAATACAGGGTTTCGCGTAAAGACGAACCTTAATATGCATTTTAAAGCCCTTATTAAAAAAAGCAGAAAAAGTATACATATTAAGAGAAACAAACCGGAGTTGTAAGATGATTTTTAGAAAAGCCTTCAACTTTTAACTTTGAATTATACCAGTTTCGTTGTTTATTGCATTCGTCTAAATCTACTGTGATTTGTTAGATTTTGAAAACGTTTCTTTCCCGTTTTTCAATATCCTAAATGTGTATAATTTTTCTCGTTTTTGATAATTTTTCCAAAAAAAAAAAAAAAAAAAAAAAAAAAAAAAAAAAACATATTTCACGTGGTTTTTGCGGAACACTCTGTTTTTAACGCACATTGGATTTAATTGGATTGGAAAATGCGTAAATTGAAGTTATTCCAGTTATAAAGTATTGCAGAGCTTGTCTATAAAAAAGATGATAACAAATCTAATAAAGTATTTATATAGCTTACTTTTACATACACGAAAATATAGTTTCATACGCACAATAAATTTATTTATAATGTATTTATATTTTTATTTTGTAACACCTTGGAGTTGAAATATTAATATAAAACAATTTTTGTTTTTAGAATTACTTGCTCCTATGGCACTGAAGTCATATAAAAAATTAACACAAGCGAAAACAAAGATATTTAAGAAAAATAAATTAATAAAGAACTAAAAGAATCTTGGATAATTTTCAAATTCAGTGTTATGAAAAATATTAGAAGTAATGCGTTAATCCTAATTCTACGTAAAAGAGAAATTAAGAAATCGAAAAATGATTTTCCAATCACTTATATAAGGGGTTTTCTTTTCGCGCCCGAAAGCCGCAGCAATATTCAGGAAATTAAGCGGAGCAGCATGAGTTTGATAATGCGGGTAAAGAAATTCAGTAGCAGGAAAGTAAGATGCTGATTTTTTTTTCTAATTTTGTTAGACATTGCGAAGCATTCTATAGATATACACTAGACATTCAACTATTCACTCATAGCGAGTTCACAGTTTCGGAAAGAAAAAAAAACTATTTTCACAAATTTATTGATGGAAAATACAAAAAGCTATTTAGCTAATATTTTCTCGAGCTTTTCAACAATATTAGTAGTTCTGTCTTTTGTAAAGAATCTACTGTTTCTGGGATGCCAAATATATTACCCAAAGTGGGCTAAATCACTGATAAAACATAAATATAAGTACTAACCAAAGGATTGAATTTTTAGGTTTTTTAACACTAGCTAATATTTTTATTAAAGTAAAATTTTATTGAAGCATGAATAATCTGTTCCATTCGTTGATTCATCCATTAGTACACAGAACACAAAATTGTTTACATTTGAATTCGCTTAATAAATACCATGAATTACTTTATTCAACAATAATTAAAACTAAAATAAAGATATTTGTTTTTAAATTTTTAATATTTACCCTTTTTTTTATAATTTTAGAAAGTAATAGAAGGCGTTCAGCTCCTGCAATGACTTCGCAAGTACCAATTACTCCTCCCATACTTTCCGAAGTATCTACTACTTCCATTGTACTTTCTGAAGCTCCTACGTCTCAACCAGTACTTTCTGAAGTACCTACGACTCTTTCCGTAATTCCAGAAGTACCTAAAAATCCTCCAGTACATTCTTAGCCAACGTAAGTTTATTTAATTTATTTCGCCAATGAACAAATAAATAAATAAACAGCACTAAATATTATATTTATCTTAGTTCTTTTTATTAAATATTACAGTTTTAAATACCCGTACTTATTATTTTTATATACAACTTAACCACAAAATAATTCAACGATTGAACTTAAAATGTTATTTTTTTCCAAATATGCTGTAAATATTGAAGTACATTTTTGAGCATTCCTAATTTTTAGCTACTTTTAAAAAGATTGGAAGTATGTGCCCGAATTTAAATATCTGAATTGAAAATATGTGATATTTCATTCTGAAATAAGTTTATTAAAAAAATTTGTTTTTCTTTTGCTCTGACAGAATTCGATAATCTATGGTCTGAGATTGATAAGTTTTTTTTCTTTTACATTTGTTACTCCTAATGTTTTTAAAGTTTTTGCACCCCTTTTTACTTGGATTCTAGAAACATTCATTAAGAGTGATCTTTACAGAGCTTCTAGAAGAAATGAGACAGATATGTATTTGAACATAAAATAAACATGTTCGTATTTTTTGTCTTTCTAGTTTCGGAAACTTAACAGATGAAACAATAAGAAAAGTGTGCTACGATTTCACTGCAAAAAACAACGAAAATGGAACAAGAGTAAGGGCATGCCAGCATAAGACACACAATCCAATCAAAACCAATGCTCTTGCTAAGTCATGTAGTTGTTTCATTTTCAAAAGCGAATGTTCTAGTAAGACTATGAAACCGCAACATTTTTTTTAAAAACAATTATATGATATCTATCGTAAATGATAGGAGGAATTCAATTTCTGTCAGACGTGTTTAACTTTTGAAAGTTTTTATATGGTTTTGAGAGCATATTTGTATAATTTGATAACGAAATAAACCGGAGATCTTTGCAAAACGTTATGTGGACAATTATTGAATTTCGTTATACTTAATAAAGTTGGTAGTTTCCTATTTTACTAACACAGAATGTCACGGGCTGTTAAAAATGTAAAAAGTAGTGATTAATAAATTGCGAAAATTCATTAACAGAGGAAAAAATTAGTACGTTTCTTTCAATTTACGATTATATTTGAATGCAAGGTATGTTTTCGCTATAAATTTGAATTGTAAGTTATGGTGGCATTTACGATTGAAGAATTAAGTGGATTAAATAAATAAGAATAAATTGAGTTGCTACCACTTCATACAATTTTAGGCTCCCTTGCCACCCCTGCTAACAATTAAAAAATAGCTTTACACCACAGCTTTTACAGAACATTATTACATCATGGCGGTTCGAAACATAACGTATACAGAACTCAGTGGCTCAATTTTATCAACAATATAATTTTATTACTTTGTATCTTATTATTTTATTACTTTGTATGCAGAGTAAAACAACGGAAAATTCAATATTTACAATAAACAATACTTCTCTTTTGGGTTTCACTTATGAAGAAATTAAAAAAATTGCATTTATAATCAAGATAAGATATTTTAAATATGGTAATATTTTAAATATTATGAAATATTTTTAATATTTAAAAATTATAAATATTTTAAATATGGTTAATGAGCAGGAACAACACCTTCTAGAAGAAAGAAGGCCGCACCACAGATGAACTTAGTAGGCCGACGTAACGAACATAAACTGCGCAATGGATGAAAAATAAAGAAGTTCGTTCGGGATACTAAGCTGTGCAGTGTTGGTAAATGCGAATGATGTCATTACGTTTGGACTAGTTAAGAATCAAATTTCTTGTTTACAGTAACCCGTGCTGAGGTCTTCTCTTTTCTAGGAGGTATAGGCAGAAAAGGGAGCCTTCTAATACATTGTACATATAAACATAATACTTAATTTTGATCTCCTCAACACACAAATACAATATAAACAGTAATAAAAGGACATGAATACAAGCATTTAATAAGAAAGGAAAATGAATAAGTAATTTGTAAGAGCATAGATTGTTAATTATTTGTGATTTTCATAATTAAAACAATGCAATTAAACGTCGAAATAAAATTTTTTCACCTTACACTACATTCACGGGAAAATCCGATTCAACATTGAAAAATAGTAACGATACATTAAACTATTTTTCCGGGTGATGAAAGAAAATCAGAATAAAATTACGGTGCAAAGTATTGGCACTTTGGGTGTAACATTTGTATAATGTACTTATTACGGTAGTATCTCTCCCCCTCTCTCTCTCTGTATATATATATATAAATATAATAAATAAATAAATACAAGAAAACACGAAGAAAGTTAAGAAAAACAATAAGTTTCATTTAGTGCGCTTAAGCTGCAAGTAAACAGAACCCATTAGATAAGTTCAAAATGAAGAATAAAACAAAGAAAAATTAAAGACATATGAAAAAGGGGGATATAATAAGTAAAAAAATAAAAAACAACAGTTAAAAAAAAGAAAGAAAAAAAAGGAAAAAAAAGAATGAAATTTTATTTAAAAAACCGGAAAAAAAACGAAAAAAAAAAAGATATAATCTCTTCATCAGCCCACGCGATTATATCCGTAAAGCAGAGTGCTTTCTGATATTGTATCAATAAAGCCAAAGCAAAATATATTAATACAATAGTGTGAGGAGCACTCAAAATTTTTTTTATAAAAATACCAACAAATAAAATAGATCACA